CAACAACTGTAACATATTTGATGTGGTTTCAACTTCATTTTGCAGACAGGACGTTTTGTTTGATTTAGTTGATTCATTTTGATTTGTACACCAGCCTACTATGTACCCTTGTCATTTCTTCTTCTTATTATTACTTTGTTTTATTGTATCCTTTTATGTGTGAGGAGAGGGCTGAGATAAGTTTTATAACTTTTTGCCTCATCCTCGGAAAATAAATGTGAATAAAATAAAATAAATTACTTCTATTTTGAAAAATAGAAACCCGTTGCCATGGCAACACAAAAAAAAACATCAACTTACTAGTATCAAACTAATATGAACTTTTTTCCAGAGACATTTTAGGAAAGGTCTCCAAATTTGATACTTCTAGCGCAAGCCGTTTAGCCGCTATCTGAGATCAAAGTTGGGCCTCAAAAGCCCCTTCAGTCTGAAATGGGTTTAAAAATCGGGTATTTCTTCTTGTCTTCTTTTCTTCATCAAAAAATAGAAAAAGTTCAAAATGTATGATATTTGTTTGCAATGTGGACACAGAGGTTCCCACATCAGTTTGCAAAACAATTGAGCTGGTAGCATGTTGATAGCAAAATTAGCAAAAAACTGTTCTGGGGTCCGCGCGGACCCCAGGTGTACAGATTAATCAGTCCGGGAAGGTGTACTGTTGAGGGTTAATCATTATAATTTTACTATTATTATTATTATCGGTTTAATTATTTCCTTTCAAACTTATTGTTATCGTTATTTCAATTATCTTACCTGTTCCATTGGACGTGAAAGATGTGTAGGAGAACTGGAACCCCTGACGTGTTTGACTGTAGTCAGATGTAAACCTCAGGAACAACTTGTTAGATGTGCTGAATATCGGGCTGATTGACAGTTGACCTGTTAACCTGGACATCAGACATTAACAATATATGTTAGAAATACAGTATATTACATTGTATCCTTTATATCCGTTTGTTTTTTGCGACGTCCTCAGGGGACGGAGCATTGTATAGTACTGCGATCGATGTGCCAGGAATTCTAAAAATTCCGCCAATGCGTCCCCTAGGGAATTCACTTTTGGCCATGCCGGTAGCAGCTGTGCCTTGTTTAGACTTCAGTGTCATTTTATTTGGGGCGTGTGTGGTATTCCTATTTACATTGTAAGAATGTTGATCTTACAGTATAATTTTCACATCTTTCCGCCCACGCAACCCGGAGTTACATGTATAACAGTTTTAAAATCGACGAAAAGCACCCGCGCGTTATAGTGGACGCGCCGCATATATTATCAGGCGGTGGTGGAACCCTCCCACGTGACCGCGCCGGCCAATCAGAACGCTGAGTTTTACAAAACTTTCATTTAGGTAGCGATTTTTCTACCCCAGTATCTCGTTAAATTTCTCTACAATGGGATTATTTTGAAAGTTCAGAGTTGCGCCAAACTGTCGAGGAGACATCCCTTCGTCGCTGGTAGGCTATCGCTGAACACAGGTACGTCGCCTTTTTCCGATATTTGTGCCGTAAATATACAAGGTTCGTGGGTGCCCTAAAGCAACATAATTTACGATTTTCTCGATTTTGTGCCATTTTCAGTGGTCTAATTCGGGATTTTCCGAGAGGGTTCATTATACGACATGAAGAAAAATCTATACTGTGTATCTTAAACTCCCAAAAACCTTTACTGAACCCCTGTGAACCCCTAACCGTTCGGCCGCTATGAGGCAAAATACAGGACGATGCACAGCGAAATTTTGTTGTTGTATAATTTAAGCCAAGATGGCGGCCGGGCTAAAAATTGGCGTCCACAGAGTTTTCCGGTACGAATTCTTCTGAAACATTTACAGACAAAGTGAGATTTTGTCGACTATGATTAGGACTACTTAGTGACTTAATTCATGTATTTGTTATCGCTTGGTTTCGAACGATCGTGTGCATTTTCGTTGACGATAAAGGGGGAGGGGGGCGGGAAACGCTGCCGAGTTACTCAAGTCGGTCCCCTTTTGTTGTGCAAAAATATTGTCCACACATACTTTCATGAGACTTTTTGTTCTTGACATATCAAGATGCCGAAAGTAGCGACCTAGAACAGCTGCCCTTCCAACAGCTGCCCTTCCAACAATACTTTTGAAATAAATCCAGTTGCAGGCAGACAGCTTTATGCTATGTTTATGTGTGTGCTGCATGCTGAATACTGGTGCATAATAATATAATCTACAGTATATAAATGCAGTACCTACCTTTCTGGGATGGAGCTGTTGTTCATTACTAATTTTTCTATCAAATGATAAAGACTAACTGTAACTTCCTGGTGCACTGCCGAGTATTACTAGATACAAGCACTGTACTAAGTAGTTATGGGTGCTTCAGTTTGGACATGATAAAATTGCCATTTTTATTTCTTTACCAGCTCTCCATGGTCTCTGTCCTTTTATATATGTGGTTCATGTAAACTGATCATAATTTCGTCTTCCTATCTAGCCTGCGGTATGTCAAGAAGCGAGCCATATCTCACATCAGATTCAGAGTTTGCAGCCCCACTGCCAGGAATGGAAACGCTATGCAGGATTCAGATGTCACCATCAGGAAGAATTGTCAATAGCCAAATAATTCTACAATCCCATACCCACACACGTTTTCTTGTTACATGTTAATTCAACTGAAGAATGTAATTTCAGTATGTACCCAAGTGTGATCATGACAGTGAACACAGGCATGTCCCATCTCTGATGTTTGGTGTGACAATGGCGTTCCAGTTAGAATATGTTGACCATTTAGAATAAAAACATATATCCTGCAACTTTAGGCTTAAGCCATTGCTTTGTGTAAATTTCTCACAACAGTTACAAAGAAGACAGTTTTTATTGCACAAGGATAAAGAGACTAGCATTTCAATTACAAATACAGTTCCTGCGATGTTATGCTTCAGTCAAAAAATAAGAATTCCAATGCTGAGATATGTGAATGATAAGCTATTCATTGCACAGTGATATACAAAAAGGAACATCAGCATTTTTCACATCTTCAATCTAGATATAGATTTCATGTTTCCCTTCAGTAGATACTACTGTCCGAGGTCGCAGCTACAATGATGAATGTGTAGTCTATTTCAGAAAGAGAATGAATAGGATACTGTACATGTACATTTTTTTGTACATGTATTTGATTGTGGAGTGGTTAACCATGGTAAGGCAGGACTTGTGGAGGAATCCGTGTAACCTGACAGGGAGAATGTGAACAGTATACAAAATGTAAATACAATTCTGCATGTTGGCAATCTATTCATGTAGTCTGTTTTAACGGTAAATTTAACCTATAGTCTGTTCACTGTCATAGTACAGTCAAAATCCAATCGAATCTCTACACAACAACCCTGAGAGGATGTCACCCCAGCATGGTGTCCAGTATAGAGAAGAATATCAATATAGGACCTAAAACGGTAGATACATGTAGTTTAGGGGTAATCTAACTGATCAAATTATCCACATCTTACATACCTTCTATAATGCAAACCACATGTACTAAGCTGGCCAACCATATCTATTTTTTACGTCCAATATTAGTTGTTTTTTTTAACGGTGTCGCTCAATTTAAGGCCAATTATTTTTGGCCACTTCTAGGCATAGAGCTAGAGGTACTTAAGTGAGTATAATGTAGTTATGTCAGGAGATGGCGGTGGACCTTTGTTCTGAAGCTTTGTAGATTGTAATCGGACGGAAAGCAGCTGTTTGGAAGAGAGTTCCATAATTTTGTAGTGCGGGGAAAGAAGCTGTTGTTGTAAAATGGCTTGGAGACAGGTATGTTGACGATGTATTGATGAGAGCAGGAAGAGAACCTAGTGGCACGCTGAAAGGTTCTGAGCGGTGGAACAAGAAGTGCAAGTTCTCCTGAACATCGACCGTGAAAGTATCTGTAGAAGAGGGATAGCGATGCGACATTGCGTCTGTGTGAGAGGGAATCCAGCTTTGCGGCCAGAGAATAAGCATTCTACCCTATGATGAAAGGACAACATAGACTGCTCCATCAAGTTCATTCCATCATATTTTCCAGCCACTGACATCACTGTTGTACTGTACAATACAGCAACAAAATCATTGCATACAATTCATGTAAGAGTGTTGTGCAACATTTAGATTACTAGTACATCAAATACAGAGTGGATTAATGCTCCTTTAGTATCAATCCATTTACCCTCAATTTACTCTTATAAAATAAAGGAAGTGTCTCTACATTGAACTAATCTACATTCATACTATATACATATACATACATATACATTCTAGCACCAATTTATTACATATTATATCAAGAGCAAGTGCACATGGTTAGGGTTGCTAAAAGCAAACTCAGTGGTTTCCATTTGTTTTTGGATAACATTATATACTGTATCAGTGTATGTACCCGGTTACCATAAGCTGTTGATAACTTAATACATTTATGTATTCAACTCTTTTGGTTGCTCCAAGAAATGATTCATTGGACCTTGACACATGCAGCATGAAGCAAAGACAGCTATTACAGCAGTCCCCACCGTGGTGCAAGGTTCTGTAGATGTTGGAAGGACTTACAAAGGCCCTGCATACCGAGTCTGTGGTGAATGAGAAGAATCGAATGAAAATGTTCAACGGTTCCGATGCATGTATTTTTTTTACCTAAATAAAAATATCATCACACAAATTATGCTCAAAGACAAGACATCATACGGTAGTTATGAACTCTCAACACAACAAACTGCACAGTGAACAACATCTATATTCCAGCATTTCCAAGTTGAAAGCCTTAGCTTGTATCGTTCTTTGAACATCGCTCGCGGACTAAGGTAGGTACGGAAGGTATCGCCCCCTTCCCCTCACTACACAACGAAGCCCAACAAAATTTGTGTTTCTAAATACAACAACTACATACACATAGCATCATTATCCCAACCGAAACCCAGTAGTACGTGGGGACACAGTGGTAGAGGTTGTAAAATATGCCCCGTGACAGTGGGATAGGGTTTTTGTTGCTTCCGACACCAAAATGGTCCAAATAAATATTTGTGACGTTCGTTCTTTTACGCTATTTATTTTGATTATTGTGCCGATTAAAATCGCTAAGCTACAACAATTCTTGTTCTTGTTCTTGTTCGGGTACTGCACAACACCCCTAGATTGGGGTAAAACGTGCAGGGGAGCTGTGCGATGCGTTATTGCTGCTTCCTCAGGTGTTGTAGTACTGCAGCGTTGAACTTCGTGGGTTCCGCAGTATCAGTTATCTCTTGGGGCAAAATGTTCCAATCTCTGACAGTTTGTGGAAAATATGAATATGAATTACACTATGACCAAAGTCTACACAAACCTGGTGTCTTCTGGGGATAAGTAGATGGCCCGTAAACGCGTTCCTGGCGATCAAAACAACAGTAGAAGAACGCGACGATGTAGCGGTGGCCATTTTGAATGCGTATTTTGAGCTCCCGGCACGACCGCTCGGGGCGGCCGCTAGCAGCTCAAATGAGCCCGCTGCGCTTCTGACCGAGAAAATTACCCGTCATGCTTAGCGACCCTTCCACCACCGCCTGGCCGCTACCCTACTGAGCGCGACTGATGCTTCGCCTCTAAAATAGATCTTTTAGACTGTGCGAGCTTGTGATGCAAAACTAGAAAATGATAAGAGTGTGTAAAACCAAGGTAAAACCTGTGGTAAAACTTACAAGTGTTGTCCATAGAATCACAAGAGTAGTGTACATCTGATGTTATCATGTATGC